TTCGTAAAGCTGTTATTGTGTATTGTGCACCCAGCTTTTTTGCTGAGCTTTTTTAATAAGTTGCACTAATTAACTTGGTCACGTCCAAAAGACCAGATTTATTCGTTATACTTTCTAGTAAGCAATAGTCACATGGGTAAAGTAGTACACAAATGCAAAAGGCATTCGACAAGTTTTCAAAAGTGGGTCATAGTTTGTAGACTCTAATTAGATTGATACAACAGTTTGAGCGTTTCTCTAAACTCGTCTTCAACTCGTCGACCAATGAGATACTGTAGAAATCAAACGCATGCTAAGAAGCGTGCTTGAGTCGTTTCCCATTTGACAGAAATTTATAGTCTAAAGATGCGTTATCAAGTATGCTGACCACCAATCATTCATTATTCTACCATGCGATACATAGTTCATAACAAAATCTGCAACAACTAATGACAATTTTCGAAACTAAAAAACTTGCCAAATGCTTGCAAAGTAAAAATTTGCAGCGAATTCTCGAAGCAACAGCAGTTTGTCGACAGCCATAATCAAAGATGTCTCACTTACGGTTGATAGAACAAGTTTAGACTGATAGGAAACATTTATCGTACAGAATTTTTTGCTCCTGAAAAATCGAGTTGGGCATGTATGCCGAATGAATACCTCGAAATTCTCATTGAATTTGATCAATATCTCTTGTCAAACAAATGACACAAACAAACTTTGTCAAACTAAGCTCTTGCATTTTTGCACGATACTTGACCTTAAGTCTTCTGCTTGTCAGAAGCAGATCTGATTTGTCACCGGGTTTGAGGAAAATTCTTTCCTTTTTAACTTTCAAGAATGTTTTCGAGTTTAGGTACGGTGCCGATTTTTAAAGGTTTGTTATAACTGGCATTCTTTGAATAATGAAGAAAATCATCTCTGCTAAACGTATTCCCTCATTACTCTGAAAAAAAGTATGATTATAATGTTAGTAATGTACCATAAACTGAAACAAGATTGCGCTTGTGTAATAATACTGTGACGCGACTGCGCTTTCGGAATGACCGGAGCTTCCGTCTTCGACGTTTCCTTCATCAGTTCTTGATTCGTCTTCGCAAAGCATTCTAAGCAATGTGTAAGTGAAGTACGGTACAACAACTTTGTTTCGCTGTAACAAATGTTCAACTGTTCAAACTCAAATCAAAACAGTTCAATCGTGGTAACGAACTTTTGAGCTCAATCCACAAGAGCGCAAGCGCTGGTATCGGACTGTTTTTAATTTGCCGAATTTTATCAAACCCAGTGCTTCATCCTTCGCTGAGGATCGCGCCTATCTTTCCACAAGTTTAATGATCTCATAGAGTGCCGAGGACTTATGACAATGGACATAGGATCTAGTATGACAGTACGCATGTTTGTTGTTAAGGAAACTTTTAGCATGGTAAAATCCGATGAACCTTTGCTTTCTGTTGGAGTTTGCCAAATAAATAAAACATCAAGTCCTACTTGTCCTTTTTGAAAGCATGCTTAGTACCCATAAAAGTAGCGCAATTTTACGACCTTTTCAATGAGATAAGAAAAGACTTCGAAGGAGAATAGTGACTTTTTGAAGGCTCGTTTGGGAAAATCTATATTAATGACTCTGCTAAGATGGTAATGCGCTTTCATTCAATTCATTATGCTAAAGCATCAAAGTAGAACAACCTGCGAAAGATGGGCAGAAAATGAGGGATAAGAAGTTTTTAGAACATCAAAATAAGGCGTCACTTCATAGCTCCTCTGCCCCAGCTAGGATTTACATGCATACGGGAATCAATTTCGACTATATAAATTGCAGCATTACATCATACAACTGACTCGCCAATTTCCAACCACCGAGTTTCACCTTCGAAGCTCGCGCGATCAGTTTTGACTGATAATTTAGCTGTTAGCGTTTTCTTCATTAGATAAAGCGAAACACAATAGAGTGTAAAAATTCATTTTTGTTTGAAATAAATGAAGAATGCTCTAGAATAACAGAAAGTATTTGGCACTTGTTACTCATGAACAGCAAGACAACACTCTTTAAAGTATGCATTGTATTGTTTAACTTGACGCGACGCCAATACGGATGACTAACAGTACTCATTTTACTTTCTGGAACATTTTCTATTACTCTTGTTAATCTTAGGAACACTAACATCATTTTTCCCCTCATCGGGAGAACGATGATTTACTTAGAGAATTAAATTGGTCGGTGATAGCCAAACTCAGCACCATAACACTCGTGGCTCAGTATTTTGCCCAACCTAAGCAATGAAGACTTTAACGTATGAAATATTTAGATTTCACATTCGTCTAGTAAATCGACTGATTGTTCGGCACCTCTTGAACTTTGTTCCAATTTTAGCATTCAGATGCACAAAATCTGCTTTTTGTATGGCCATAACAGAACATACCAGCAACTTGAATCTGGAAAATATTCTGCGTTGTAATAGTTTTTCTGAAGAACGCGCTCTCGCAATGTTTTGTTAACCCGCTCGACATGTGTTTTTCACAGATACGTAAGCGATGACGGAACCGCAAGATAAAAGAGCAATCATAGCTTGGCGAAACAAAATCTCGAACGTGATTCTTTTTTGCGGCGTTTTTATATAACGTGAAATTTACACTGGTAGAAAGCTCTAATTCATACTTTGAAGTTATTGGCGGAGATATCACTCAAAGCGTAGTACTGTCACAAGAGTTTCGATGCAGAAGAAAGAGGAAAAAGAATAGCTCTTTTTATAAAGCAACTCCATGTCAAGGAGTTTGCAGACTCAAATTCCATTCAATTTTCAAGAAAATTTTGTGGTAGTCTCCAAAGGAAAGCATACTCAACATGTAGCTTCTGAACATTTCACAAAGCTCAATCTATATGAAGTTAAAAGTTAAATCTAAAGGTTTTGAATACTTGAGAAGTTTAGCTAAAATATAGCTCAACTTTCCCAAGCATACACTCGCCAAATTAGATATTCATTTATTTATTTGCTGCAATGTTGCTGGAAGTGACTGTATGACTTTTCAAAGCGAAGCTGTTGTTCCCTTATAAGTAATCTCAAAGAATAAAGTCCAAAAGAGAAACATAAAAGCTGGAGATTACAAGTGCTAGTTTTGAAAAAATATTGGTAGTATGCTGAAAGAAAGATATTTTTTGCTTGGCTCTCTTTGATTTCTCAATTTTCGGCTTTAGAAGATCTTTCAGTATCATTGGACTAACTAATTCTTAATTTTGGGTTGCATCTTTGCGGTAAATCTTCATATTTCGGTTACAGGTTCCATGCACAGCAAATTTTGCCGCATTGATTTTCGCACGGTATCCTGTGAAATATGATTTGCTCTAGCAACTCATATCCTTAGGCTTAAAGTAAAAATAGTCATGTTTCTCCCAATTTCAAAATTGACATAAGAACGTTCGTGTTGTCTGTCTTATTTTTCGAAACAAAAAATTCTCAAGAGAGTAGGTTAGCCAAGAAAATGGCCGAAAGTGCACAGCTTACTGTGCACTTTCGGCCATTTTCTTGGCTTCCATCGCTAGCAATGGTTTTTTTTTGCATGCATATGATACCTCCTAGATACTAGTGACTGAAGAGATATTAAGGTGATGCTTTTGTTGAAGCGTTTTACTCTTGTTTTGAAGAGCGGATACAAAAACCGCAGCGGATATATCTTCGCGATATTAGAACGCGTTACTAATCTTTGAAAAAAAAACTGTAAAAAACGAGTGCGTTACGGGTAGAAATGTAAAAGTTATGGAGAAAGTTGCAAGACTCTATGCGACTTGTATTGAAAACGCAGACGCAGTATGCAAGCGTGCGCTCGGCACATTGCCACCGCTTGCACCGACAATGATGTGAGGGTTCCTACGGGCGGCGAATGGAAAATGAATTGAGATGTATAACAGCGTGCCGGTGCAAGCTTTGGGAGTTAAAGGCAGTGCCCCGGCAAATTTGCGCCCTGGGAGATATTGCTATGGTGGGGTTCCTGGTCATCCCACTGATCTCCAGGCTTAATCGCCTGGCTGATGTTTTCCTGAACTGAAGAAATAGCCCTTGAATCAGCGCGCGCAACCCCAGCCAATCGGCGCGCGCTTGGACGACTTCGCTTACGTTTGGCGCGGGACCATACGACCGCTATTCCGCGTTGTGTCATCCAAAGCAAAAATTTCGGAGCAGAACTATTGTTCCCTTATAAGTAGAAACATAAAAGCTGGAGATTACAAATGCTAGTTTCTGAAAAGTACTTGTAGTGTACTGAAAAAAGGATATTTTTTGTTTGGCTTGCTTTGATTTCTCGATTTTCAGCCTTGGAAGTTTTCAATTGTTTTTTAACCAACTAATCCCTAATTTTTGGTTGCGTCTTTTAGTTGTAAATTTTGGGCAGCAGGGTTTCGTGCCAAGGCCTCCCAACTTTTCATACAAATTCTCGTCCGGGCTGCTTTTTGGAAATTGGGTAAACGCCCCGAAAAGGTCTTTTCACCCGTTTCAAGCTCAAAGCTCAAATTCGGGGTCACCTGGTCGAGAAGGCCCAGAACATGCAAAAAAATGGAACAGTAAAATTTGCTGGAAGACTGTCTTTGATCCTATGCGGCGCACGCTGCGCACGTTGAGTTTTCTGGAAACTTTGCTCTTGTGACGGATAAAAACATATAGAGCTGATAGCACTGAGTTGCAAAAGAGAGAGCATCCAATCGTTGACATAATTTTTCTGTACGTAATTTTATCATTTGTCATTTTTCATTTGTCCTCCTCAACCTGCCCCACTCGCTTTTCTCAGAAGTTACACTCGCATATTTATTGCTCTCAAATTTTTTTGAACCTTGGATGTTGATAAAGTGGACATCGAATTTTGATGACAAATGATTTCGTCAATAATGAGATACACATAATCTGCTCTTGCTTTTCACTTTTAAACACCACACACCTCCACAAAAATGAGACCCTCAATTTATCGCACCAGATAAAAAGAAAATCTATTGTGTCCGTGGTAACACAAAAAAATTTGAAAAACGGTTCCGTACATGATTATCACGAATTTTATAGCAAAGATTACACTACAAGTTCATTATTAACATTACTGACAATTTCTTCATGATAGCAAAGCCAATAAACTTTTCTGACAACTGCTTTGACTAATCGTCACAATTTTACAGCATAAAGCACATATACTATCTATTTTATTTACATAATTTATGCTACATAAAAGCACCTATGCCTGCAGCAGAGACAGCACATGACGATACACGAACAACTGATGTCCTCCATCTCCACCGGTTGGTGCTGCGACGGCTGTCCAGTGTAGCGCTAATCGATGCATAGCTTTATGAAACGGAATGTAAGGCTGCCACTTCATATCCATAAGGTAGCGATAGGTAGTGGCTGACATTATTAGAGGCTATACTTATCCTGCCGGGACACAGCAGCAACATGGACGATATACTACAGGTGGTGGCGTTGGTGGCGGTGTTACAACCACGGTTGGGCAACTATAAAACTTACACTAGCGCAACAATGTACATATGCTACTTACCAGCAACAGCAACAGCAGCAACAGCATCCTCCACTTCCTATACTTGGGAATATGCCTCCAGTTCCCAAACCTGGAATCAGGCCTCCATATCCTTGAGCTTCAGTAGATTCAAAGGTTGTTAAAAGCAGCAGTAACGAATTCAGCAGGATGAAATAAGAGTTCATATGGCAGTGAAAGTATTTTAAAGAGGTGGATAGAGAATATAATGCTAGAAATGTTTGTTTGACTTTTTAGGTTGAAGTCTCGCACTCCCAGAAATTTGAAGAAGAATGCTTTGCTGTAGGACCAGTACGTGTATTTAAATGCAGAGGTAAAATGAGGGCTGCTTTTTTGAGGTCATCGAAAAATTTTGGCAAAAGATTTGTGGCAGTGAACATCCTTTGACCAAGAAGTTTTTGATACTGTGTCTCATCTTAATCGAGTTGAGTTCGCGAGATAGATGATTGAGACGGCATCTTTGATGACATATTAATTGAGGGCGATTCAAGCTTGGAAAATGTCGTCGCTGTATGTGAAAAGGGTGTGTTAATGTAAAATACTGAAATACCTTTGTTGAATTTCCCTTACAGAGGAACTAAATTTGAAAAACCCAAATACTCACCTTCGGTACATCAATCATTTGCTTCGCATGAGCATAACCGCGAAGGATATTAAAAGTCTTTTTTTATGATGTAAATAATTTTCGTCCTATGCTTTCTTTTGAAGCAAGATTGCTCTTCAGTCTCATCAAAAATGTGGTTCGGGAAGTTACAGTGAAATAAGTTATTCGAGGACGATAAAAAATTTTTCTTTATATTTTTCAGAGGAAAGTAAATATGGCCGATTAAAATGTAATGGAAGTTAATCATGTTATTCAGTTGCTACAAAGCATTGATGTATAGCTAGTCATGGCTTCTGAAGTTCCAGCACACGCACTTCTAGAAAACGCATGCTTATTCAAAACGTTACGGTGATGTTGGGTGATATCTTGGATCCGCGACCGATCAGAGAACTTCTTGTTGGACTTGCGGGCTTTTTGCATTTGTCAAAAGTTCAACTTTTTACCTTTCCATGTAGGTAATTTGGTGGTGAAAAATGACCCTTACTGATGAGAGTTCGTTATTCATGAAACGTTATTCGTTATTCCATGTTATCCTCACATGGAAGATAACAATATTAGTAGTAGGCAAGTGTACAGCTTGGAGATTCTCAGATAAACTCTGTTGCAGTCAAAGATGATACGTGAAAAAAGAAAAATTGGCCAGTCCTCAAAATTGTTTTGTTTTTGCCGAGCGCTTGTGAGAAAAATTCATTCGCTTCAAATATTTTCTGGTAGATTACCACATGTGCTATTCAAAAATGCATATTCTGTGAGCAACTTGATAAGATAGAAATTTCTGAAAGTTTAACTGACTAAAACAAAATGTTTACCAGTAGTTGTGAAGCTCAAGAAACCGTTTATAGAATAGAATGCACTGACTTTGAAAGCCGTAAATGTCATTTTTGCCCCTACAAAATTGCATGAATTAGGTGAAAAATCAATTCGTGAAAAAAGCGAAAACCCCTACGGCAACAAGTTTCATACCCTCATTAGTCACCTTTGAGTTTGATTCACCAACGGTCTCCAATTAACGCTTAGCTACTAACAAACGAACATTTGAGGCTAACCCCTAAGTTTTCAGTCTGAGTATACAAATCAAATTTCAAGCCCTGTCACCCATGTTGGTACAGTGCTCTTGCAATAACGAGAGAGAATGGAAAATTTGATCATTCTTTACTTTGTCTCAATCCGGACGAGTAAGAAATTGGCATTTGTGCTCTCCACACCGCTGAAATGTCATGCTATGACTATCGTGCTTCTATCGTATCCATTTATCCATTTGAACCTCTGGTTCGATATGTTAGTATAAGCTTACACATGCAGTTCGTAATGCTGCGAACACTTGTTCTACGATTGATTTGAAGGCCAATTTTATTGGTGAACCTTCATATCAACTGTCATCATAAACCCTTTTTTCCTCACAATCACTTTGTTATTTTGCATGACTTTGAGCTAAACGCAGCCTCCATACACCAACTTTTGCCTTTTTTCTATTAGCATTATTTGCTTTGCATTCATTTTCCTTTTGAAAGAGCGCTCATTATGACATACACTTACTAAACAGACCCTGTTTTGCCGATTCTTTCGCAGTAGAAATGCTCATCATTCTTATACGAGTTGATGAGCGTGGCTAGCTAGTTTCGCTTTTAAGAAGTTGTTTGAAAGAGCTAAAGAAAAAATTGCGACTTTGTTCTATAGCCGCGCACTAGGCGAAAACGACTGAAGACAGAGAAAATAGGAATACTTTTTGCGGCTGTTCAATCAGTGCTTTGAGATACAATAGTTCCTTATTTTTACTTCTGTCGGTCTTTCTCATCGATGAAGTTTGATAAATGACAGCGAGAGTTCGCGCAGTCTATCTGTGTTTGAGCAACTCATTCAAACCCACAGAAAAAAAGTGTCATTTGGAATGCAAAAAAACAGCATTCAAGGTTATGATACTAGATTTCAATCGTGATCACTTTTTTGTACTCCTTCGCTTGTTTTGGTGTATGGTCGCACTTGCAACGGTTTTTGCCGGGAATCAGCGGGGTATGCTTTCAAGACGTGCAATCTGGATTTTTTGCCACATCTCTTAAAAAGAACCCATTTTTTCAATCCAGCAATTACGCCTTCAAGAAGTAAGCCTCTTTGCATCAACCACTTCTCAAAAAAAATTTATTGAAACAACAGAAAGTTGATAAAAGCAACAACAAAGCCGTCTTACGATAACTACTGAGTCTGCTCATAAATGTGCAAAAAAGTCGTAATGGTTATTTGAGTCACGTCACAATGGCGTGCATTGCCACACCTCGCCTTAGAGTGCACAAATCTTGATTTAGGCACCACTTAACAAGGGAAGGATACCAACATTAGTCGACGATTGAAGATGAGATGTATATCAGTAGACGCGCCTACAAACGCTGATTCCAAATCTGCTTTCGTTTTTTGCGGAACAAATTTTCGAAAGAAGTTATGAGCCTTTGTCTGTTCAAATCAAGGTCTAGGTGGCTTAAAATTGACGAGAAGCTATACAAAAACGTCGGAAGGTGGAAAATCAGTTTTGTATCGAGTGTATTGTTTGCGAGGAAGGGACAAAGCCGGTGGAAATCGCATAGGTGTTGTTTTAGAGCTTTTTGTTGATTTTAAGGCACCAATGCTTGGGAAATTTGGACATTTGAGCGCTCATAACTTCTTTCGGAAACCTAATCTGCAAAAAAGAAAAGCAGATTTGAAATCAACGTCTAGAGGCGCGTTTGATGATATACATCCCATCTTCAATCCTCGACTAATGTTGGTCTTCCTTTTTAAGTTCAGTTCTCATCTGGTATAAATATAAGTGCATAAGCTCAGTAGTCTTAGTATCTAGTTTTCTTTTTCTATGGTAGGAAGCGAATTGCGGCAAACTGCACATTACTTTGCAAGTAAAGTTTGAAATACTCGCGGAAAATTAATAGCTACCACAAACCTGCCTTATTCAAAAAGCACTTCACATGTCAGGAGATTCACAGAGTGGGAGAAGGGTGGATGCTGTCAACAACTTCAGAGTTTGCCCGCTCCGAAGTGAGGGATGTGATGCTTACATCTGACTCAGTTATAGTCGAATCATTTCATGTGATCAGGTGTGATTTCCACACAGCATCCATCTTTGGCGCCCTCATCCTGGCTTTGCAATGGCAAAAACGCAGAAGACCGACCGACTGTTATTGCTTACTTCTCTTTGTGGGAATTAATATCTAAAAATGAGAGAAAAATAAGGAAAACGCTGGAGACACATGCCTGAAGGAGTGTCCGCTCTTTCTTAAAATCAGGGGAACGCCAAAGATGATCAGTGTGTGCAATTACAGACCTGATTGTATGAATTGATTCGACTGTAATTATCGGTCTTTTTCTCCGCAAGTTATGAGCTGTTCTATGTGCTCATCGGGAGATTCCGGTGTCTGATGCTATTTTACCATGTATTGGGATCAAATAACATCTGCATGTTGACGCTGGCAAGGCTCTGTGCAAAATTGTTTCGATAATCAACTCATAGATGCTCAATTCTGTATTCTCAAAAACAAACTTATGTGATATACCTGCCATTAAAAGTGGCAAAGTGGCGAAGGCGGGTAGGGGTCTGAAAAAAAGGATAAAAGGGGATTTTCTTGTATTATGTATGTATCACAACGAACATTTTGAATTTGTAGCAATGGTGCAGAAGTGTGACCGAGACATAGCGTGCAGGGATCCGTTGATGCGTATTCCACACATAACAACTTGTTATCATAAACACTTTGAATGAGACCAGTGCCGTGAAACTTAGTAACCGCATTAAGTACGTTGTTGCAAATTTGTGTGAGCTAATATCGAACTAATTGCATTTCAAGATTGCGAAGTTTTTGTTCCCCAACAAAATTTCAAAAGACATTGGCAGAAAATTGCTTTATCAGTAGAGTAAAATAGCGTTTTCAAAGCCTGACCTGGAAGACAACATATCTTTTCAAAGGCACTGTCTGGACAAGGTGCAGGCTTTGGGATTCAAGTGTCATGCAAAAGCGGAGGCCTCGGGCGCACCAGGAGGCCGCATGCACTAACATCTCCGCCCAGAAAGGGATGGCAGCTTAAAAGAAAGCTTCCTATCCTGAAGCTTTAGATATCTGGACTTTACGTTGCCTGCCTATTGGTGCTCCCACCATCCTTCACTATGAACATGTTGACCAGAAGTGAGAAGCTATACAAACCGCATCTCCATCTTTTTGTATGATTCCCTTATAATCCCCGGCGACCGATCATTATTTCTTCGAAGTCATTTTTTTCTTTGAAATTAACAAAAACACGGCAAAGTTTTACGGTTATTTAGTCGAAGAGTGCTAAGCATGTTTTTGATGAAAACAAACGATGTATTAGTCATAAAATTTGCGATGAACCACATACCGATAGTTGGGGTTTACGAAATTTTTGATATTTCTTAAACAATTTGCTCTCACTAACGATGTGCTTAGCACTACTGGGTTAATGAGCAGTACAACTTTGGGATGTTTTCATTAACTCTAAAAAAAGAAAAATGACTTCAAAGAAAGCACGGTCGGCCGCCGGGGATCATCAGGGGGTCATACAAAAGGCTGAAAAATGCGGCTCGTACAGCTTCTCGCTTCCGACCAATATGTTAATAATGAAGGACGTTGCGATTACTTACTGATAGGTGGACTGCATGAAATCCAGACATCTGGAGCTTCAGGACATAAAGCTTTCTTTTGAGCTGCGATCCCCTGACCGTAGCAGGGCTCGGCACAGGTGGCTTACGGGGCCAGCTGGATATCGTTTCGGAATAAACGGGACTTTCCCTTTTCTTGATAATCTCCCCTTGTAGTTATCTAGGACAGGCGAAAAGTTTCAGTATTGTATACTGCTAGCTACTCCTCGTGGTACCGCTCTATAGTAAAATCGATTTGCATACAGTATAAATGTGCATGCAGTACACAATGAAATTTGCAATTTGTACAATTTGCATACAGTACAAAATGTTATCACTTCTGGCAACATTTTGCAACATGTAGTTTTGATTTTGTTCGTACTTAATTCGCGGTTTTATATACAGCACACTCTGGTAACGTTTTACTTCGTTTTTGATTCGCATCTCACATAGCCTTACATTATATCAGAGGTGATTTTAGCAAAGCTGGGCAATTAGAGCTTGTCTTTACGTTGCCCGGGCTACATTATTCCACAGTGACAAACAGAAAAGTGATGATGTATGCTTACAATGCGAGTATGATTGAATGCAGTCATGCTTTTTGTGCCTTACAATAGCTTGTGACTTCTGAAAATATATAAAAAAATGAGAGAAGCTACAAGAAAACCTTTGCACGCAGTTTCACCTCTTTTTAACTACCGGATTTGACACACACTGAGCAAAGTACATAATACCTATTTATTGAATCTATTCTATACAGATACGACTATTTTAATAAATCCTAACTATGAAAACTCTACTTTCCGATGGCATAACTGCCTCCTGATGGGGCACCACCGAAACCGCCGCCTGATGATCCTGCGTATCCACCTCCCGATGAGTATCCAATGCCTGATGGAGCTCCACCAAAGCCGCCGCTTGTGGCGTATCCGCCACCGCCTGATGGGTATGCTGGAGCTGGAATTGGAGCAGGAGCAAAGACAGGAGCGGAAGCATATCCGCCGGAGGGATATCCACCGCCTCCTCCTCCGCATCCACCGGAGGAGTATCCACCGCCATATCCACCGCCGCCGTATCCGCCAGAGGAATATCCACCACCTCCGCATCCTCCAGATGATGCAACAGCATAACTACCACCGCCACCTCCACAGCAGGGTGATGGACTATATGAATATAGTTAGGATTCACTCGAAACGCGTAGGAAGTAAACGAAGCAAAAATGAAATTACCAGCAGCTGCTTCCGCCGCCCATTCCTCCAAATAAAAAGGCGTTAGCCGCCGAGATCAAGGCAAATGCGACCACTGCGAGTTTGATCATGCTGAAGTTTTATGATAAAGAACAAAATTTACAAAGCTTTTCATGCGAATTACCTTGAAGAGAAGCTGAAGATGATTAACTGCCAATTTCTGACTTTTTATATTAACTAGGATATCAGTTTTCTTACGCGTAAATCGGTTTTCCCTTACGATCTGAGGCATCGCATGCGATCGCTTAATCTCGACTCTTTGTTTCGGACATGCGGCGCTCGTATACACGAGAATCTAGCTTGTACGGCTATATACGATTTTTTACGGCACGCTAGTAGAAAGTACGGTTCGAGTTTCACTTCAAAAAAAAACTTTGATGATAATGCCATGATTGTTTTGAATGCAGTCACACACGAAGTTCAGGCATTCACAATTAAAAAGTCTTGTTTCGTATTAGAGAGAGTTATGCTATAACCTAAACAATTAGCTTCCTCCTTTGAATAACTTTGGTAGGTCATAAAATCTACGCCGTCTCCTTCGTATCTGAGATCCAAATACCTTTACACTTGAGAATTAAGGATAAAACTCTTCACAGTCAAATATTAGTGCAATTTTTATCATGCGTCACTTTGAACTCCACAAGCTTGCTTCCGCGATTTACTGTATAAGAGATACGATATTCCAGCCGCACGTGCTGTTCGGCGAACACATGTCTGTACGTCAAACATTGTCTGAGGTCGGAGGAGACCACTCGAATTTTTACAAGATCAAGCTTTTAATCTGAAATTGCGATTGAGTAAAATATTGTTGTTCATTGTTGATAAATACTCATTGTTGTTCGACAAAATTTTATGTCCAATCAACGATCTTAAGAAATTCTGTGTGCTTAAAGTCGTCAGAAACATCTTTATGTGTTTTGTAGACAAAAAGTTTTCAAATGCAGCCGCTTGTGTTTCCACTTAGTTATCTTTCGTTGCTTCTGACTCATTTTAAAATAGTTTAGTTCGTTTAGTTCTAAAGACACAAAGAATGAATTCTAAAATGTTTTTCTTGGCTATGATTCAAAAGTACCGAAAATTGGTGTAGATTCAACAGCCGCTTTTTTTTTGATAATTGATCTTATTGGAACCTAGTGGTAAGGTCGTCTGTATTAACATTTGAGAAGAACTGTATAATGGGAGTCCTCTGTAGTTTTCTTATTTGTGTAATGACTATTGCCGTCGACGATATAGAAAAATAATTATTTAGAGACAGAAGCAACACAGAAAAATTACTTCAATTTCTAGGTATCATGTAAAGTCGTCGTTTGCATATGCCAGCATAACAATGGTTCATGTGATGTAATCAGTGTTCAAGGAGCATAAACAGCTCAGGACTAATTAATCATCAACATCTAACTTCATAGTTTTGTACCGAACCCCGCTTAAGATTAGTAATGTCGAGAGTAAAAAATGCGTATCTATATTCCTGCTTCCGGTTATTCACTTTCTCCTCGCGTTCCGCTAATTGGGTTTTGATCATTTCGCGCGGCGCGATGAGATCGACATCACAATGCCTTGTCTTGTTCCTGGAACAAATGACGCATAAACAGTTTCTTGACAAGGCGTAGCGACATCAATTTCAGAGCCTTTTCCTCTTAAAAGGCAAAGCCAGCAATTTCAAAACCAAAAGCAATAAAAGGTTATGGTTGTTTTTTACTCAAATTTATCAAATCAGTTCGCTAAATTATCTAACCTAACGTTGTCGGTATACTAATGAATGAAAATACTGCATCTTCAGAATACTTGGAGATGAACTGCTTGCCTATGTATAACAGATCCAGATTAAAACCGCCAGAATGGGCTGTATGAGTCAGAAAACCTGTTGGCATTTATTACCCTAGAATAGTACTAAAGTTCAAGTTGCGTTCATTGTCATAAGCCCTCAAGTAACTTGTTTTCATTAATAAAAAGTTGGTCTTAGGCTCCATTTACTCATTACGAATGAGTTTACAATGTTTAGAAAATGATAGGAACTACCTTCTTCAATTCGAGATCTTCTCAAAACGGTTTTCGTTTATAGTACCTCGAGAATACATGCTTCTATGAAAAAAGGTAAAATGACTTTTTCAACAAATTTGTGGATTATAAGGCAGGACGGCAGCTGTGGGCTTTGAAGTTATTTATATCTCAGCAGCCAAAATGAAAGCTCGAAGGGCTTACCTATCCAAATGGATCAAAAAGTATTTTTCGTAAACAAGGAGACCGTTGCGCGTCCATTAAAACATAGTTAATCTGATCCATAAATAACTGGTTGGATACCCTACTTCGCTCAACCTCTATCAACAAAAATTAAGAGAGCTCACAATTTTTTCCCAATTACACTTTACCTTCTGTCCCTTTCCCAGCTTCCACATAGCTACTTCTAAATGCGCGAAAACCCAATATTCTCACGTTTACAATGAACTCCTTTGGAGATACTTCGAAATTCTGAAACAGCTATACGCTGAAGAGGAGGTCTTAACCCACTACATTGTGGTAGTTATCACTTACCAAAAGTATATCTACAAAATGGTAAAATTTGCTAATGTCAACTCTAACGTAAATTCGAAAGCTAAACAAACGGAGATACTGGAGGTCAGTGCTCATTGGATTCTAGACTTATTCAGTTGATGATGCAGTTGCAAACCTGTATAGTCAACTTTTTATGATCTTCCGTACATTTGTATCTCTTAGTACGATTTTCGGTTTTCTTCACGTTGGCTTTGGCTAATTTGCAATAATTATGCCATTTTCCTAAATTTACCTCGTTACGTTTTCCACAGGAAATTGCTCCTTCATGGTAAATGTTTTCAAACGACACAACTTTTTGCGTAAAGACTCGGAACTCTGCAGCAACACCTGTGTGTTATGTGCAATTTGTTGGCAAGATGATCTCTTGTTCCTCCGAAGCTGCGTTTAAATCTTTAAATGATACTACAGATTGTTCAGTGAAAATTGAAAGATTGAAATTACCTTTTTATTTTTTGTTGAGCTCTTTTGCACTAATATGACACTGCAGAATATGAGCGTAAATGATTCTGACGCACCTTACGAATCCATTGTCTGATGGCTTAACATGGAGACATTACTTTTCACTACATTCACTGTTTTTCGAATCCAGTTGGTCTTGCTTGCGGCTGTTTGAGTAGAATGCTGCGCCTGAGCGATTTCAGTAAATTCTTCATCTCCTTCTTTTTTGTAAAGGGTCCATTCAAAACGGTGAGATAGCGAGTGCTCGACAATATTGGTTTGTTGCACATCACAAGCTGTCTTTCTCCAAATAATAGTCAAAAACACTGTTGTCACTTGAACGAGACTCATGTGCCACAACTCTTGTGCTTGTTGTCAAGGTTTCAGTATGACAACATAAAAAAGCAGTTTTAACGTGCCTTTTTGAAAAGAGGTCTGCTCTTTATGTTTGTCGTACTGGAGCTCTTGGCACATGACTCCCAAGGCGAGCTTTGACTGCCTTATGACCTTCAAAAATTCAGAACGGAAGTCAGTATGTAGAGCATTGTTGTCACTAACAAGGGAAGTCACTTAACTTAGGTCGGCCTTTTGAAATGAGACACATATATTTAGAATCAGCTGGGAACGCTCCAAATATGATGTAGCTGCGAAGCATTCCCCTGAAGCGAGTTATGAGCTTTTTTTTAGTATGTGTCATTGACATACAACTGAATATGGAAAGAGGGCCTTTCGATGAAAATCTGCCCAAAAAGTAGTGGAAGATTGATATAACATCAAATTGAGTCACTTGGCTTTGATAGGATGTAGTACGCACTTAAACCACTACCTAGATGATGATACCGTAGCATGTCTAAGTCGGTCAACACGCAAAGTTTGCTCAAGAAAGAGCACATAACTCGCTTCAGAATAATGCTTCGCAGCTACGGAAAGCAGATTTGAAATCAGGGTTTCTAGCTGATTGCAACTATATGTGTCCCATTTCAAAAGGCCGACCTAAGTTAAGTGACTTTCCTTGTAAGTTAAATTCAATGACTTAGTACATCAAATGATGTATGTTGTTGTATGGTCTAGAACAAGTTAAAGGTGTTGAAATTTGCCCACATGTAAATAGCTACTTTATTCGTAGTCGATTCCACCTTATATGGTCTCATATGGAGTTGAGAAAAAAAGTTCGGACTTATTGAAACAAATTGCAAAGCTTCCGATACTCCATCATAATCATTAAACATGGCTTCACGTGGACAAGTTTAATAGATAGTTAGATAAATAGATACAGTTGAAATCACACGTTTTCGCGCGAGTGAGATCTACGAATGAGATGTGGAGTGCGCTAAACATGTCCGCATATTGAACATCACTCAAGGGATTGTCAAACGTGCACGTTTATCTTCAGTTCCAGTTCTTGCATTACTTCAGTTGCAAATCTAACGACAATTCATGTTTCAATATGCCTGTCTTGCTCATTTGTGGGTAGGCAGCAGTGATATTTGTAAGCAGTGAAAATTGACGAACTTTTTCATAGGAATTCATCGATACATCGTCTTTTTATTCATAACCCGGTTGCATTGGTACTTTTAGGTTGTTAAAAGGTCCCAGGTTTTGGGTAGACATTAGTGGACAGAGCTCAGGACAATGTTAAATGTGGGTCCATTATTTGGCGGTTTTATTTATTTAACATTAGCCATATAAGACACTACGGACCCCATGCATGGCAGATGTTGTGATGGCAAAGATACAGTAAATTAGTAGTCAAACCTTTTATAGCCTCAATACTATTTACAATGGCAATTCCTTGATGTGATTCAACATGGGAAAGACAGAAGGCACATGGAGAGAGTTTCAAAATAATCACGGCCAATTGCATGTATCCTCGAGTCATTTGTAACTCAATATGCGTGTTGCAGACCAAGCCGCTAGTTGCAAGTTGTAAGGTAGACCTTACGTTTTGGTGATTTATCTTATTCACTGCCTCTTAATGGATATGTTTTAGTTGATTGTACGATTCAGTGCAATTTGTGTAAAAGTTGCTGATGAAGTCCCTCGGGTCGCCGCGCGGTTGTGTAAGCTCACATATTAAGTT